CGGGGATAGGTGCGCTTTGGGCTCTCAATCGCACTCACCACGATGTCTATATCTACGAAGCAGCAGATAGATTGGGCGGACACACAAATACTGTGGAGTTCAGAAATGGGAAATACAAGACCTTGGTGGATACAGGCTTCATTGTCCTCAATACAGCTACTTATCGTAAGTACTCTTTGCGCCTCTCCCAAACGCAAGCTATGCAAGTTAACTTTACTACAGCCAACTTCATCAACTTCCTGAAATCGATCCATGTTCCTACTGTGCCGACGGAAATGACCTTTGGGGTGTCTCGAGACAATGGATTGTTTGAATGGGCTGGAACCTCTATTGCTGCTGTCTTTGCCCAGAGGAGGAACTTATTCTCCCCACGAGTCTGGAGAATGATTTTCGACATCATACGGTTCAATCAATATGCGCTGGATATTTTAAAGGTGGAGGAAAAGAGCGAAGAATACATTGTCGCAAATGGAAATGGACATGCGAATGGCAATGGTGTACATCATGCCGAGAGACAGGAGACAATCGGAGAGTACCTGGACCGGGAAGGTTATTCGCATGCTTTCAGGGATGACTATCTCATTCCCATGACTGCTGCGGTCTGGAGTACGAGTCCGAATAAGTGTACTTTGGAATTCCCTGCGGTGACTTTGGTGCGGTTCATGTAAGTGTATGAATCCCTTCTAGCCCAGATGTCACTAACAGAATTAGGTGGAATCATCATCTTTTAAGTACCGTTGCGACAAGACCACAATGGTTGACCCTAAAGTACGGCGCAAAAAGTTACATCGATGCCGTTATGAAAGGGTTTCCGCCAAATCACATATTCCTCAACTCACCTGTCCAGACAATCACCAATGAGAACGATGGCAGAGTACGGCTGCACTTGAATGGTGGACAGTCCGAAGTCTATGACCATGTGATAGTTGCCACTCACGGAGATGAAGCGCTTGATATGATACTCCCCGAGGCCGATTTTGAGGAGAAACAAATTTTGTCCGGCTTCAAGACCAGCAAAAATACTGCTATTCTCCATTCAGACCTATCGCTCATGCCCAAGTCGAGGAAAGCCTGGTCTTCTTGGAACTATATTACAAAGTCGTCACCCACATCCGCCAACATTGATCAAGTATGCCTCACCTACAACATGAACATACTACAACATTTGGATGAGAGATTGTTTGGAAACGTTCTCGTAACACTCAACCCTCTCCACCTCCCACCACCAGAGAAAGTACAAGGGCGATACACTTACACCCACCCTCTCTATAACGCCGAAGCCATTCGATCCCAAAGCCTCCTGCCAAGGATACAAAATACCCGAGGGATCAGTTATTGCGGCGCCTGGACGAAATATGGTTTCCACGAAGACGGCTTTTCTAGTGGCTTAAAAGTAGCCCAAGATCACCTCGGCGCCCAACTCCCCTTCCGCTTCAAAGATAGCACGTTCAGCAGAGGCAGACGGCCAGTCCTAGGTATCGCCGATCTGGTGCTCCGACTGTGGATCACTTTCGTCCAACTCTTAATCTCCATTATCGAGAGGATATTTCGTGTAGAACGCAGGCAGCAAGTGCAGGTCAAGAAAGTTGCAAAGAAGATCATGTAAATGTATTTAGTACGGCGTTTGGACCATTATGTCGTCAACCAACTACCAGGAAATTTAATGACGTTTACGACACACCCTCATGTTCGGTCCTCTATTTACTCCTTTTATTCTCGCCTCTTGCAAATGTAAGCCGTTATTCGTTCGGGTCGTGGATTCCATCCGGCAATTAAGCCTCTCGGGAAATACGACCAAATCCAGTCATCACCATCGAGCTTCTGTCAAAGGACAGTATCTGACCAAGCCATCAAGCCCACGGCCCAATTTTACCACTGACAGCGAGCATTGCGGTGGCACTCCATCTCTAAATCTCAAAGAGGCTCCGTTCTCGGAAACAATTCTCGTCAAAACGTCATTTTAGGACAAAACGGGTTACACGCCCCTCCACCGTGCGACCCCAAATACTGACCAATATTACACCAAAGCGTCGGCATACACCATCGATAGAGTGAAGCAACAGATCAGGTGCTGAGTCTTGGAGGCAATTGACAATGTACCCACGCACAAATGCATGCATATATGTTCGCAGATGACTTGGGGATCTCGTGGAGCACAAGTTTAACGGATAGCAATGACATGTCATATGTCGACCCGCTCCTGCCTCGAGGAGAAAAGCACGGTATTTCATAGAATCGTTGAACTGCATGATTTCCGTGACTTCCAGTGCTTCCCCTTCTTTTGTATTTAACTTCAAATTTATGAAAGCTTGTCATCAGGGTGAAGTTACTGTCTTCCCTTCTCCGTTGTCATAAATTTCCTGGAGCCCCAATATGTGCACGGCAGACACACCACAGCCTCCGAGTACGACAGTTCCGCCCCCTTCTGGCCAGTCTACTCCTGCTCCGACACAAGCTGGACCGCTTTCGATTGAAGCAGATGTGAGTATATCCTCACAGAACAATTACAGCGGCGGACTGGACATAAATACTGAGTCTCCCCTCCCAGGAAGCAGATGCACTCGACAACGACTCCGCGTTTGGAGACGATGCCTCGTATGTCCTTGCAACTTTTCTCCCTTTGCATCAAATTTTGGTCCGATTTCCAGACATTCACATTCTGACTAGTTAGAATCTCTAGAGATGCGAGCTCGAGAACGTCATTGAGTTCTGGGATTGCGAGGTATCGTATAGAGGTATATTTATTGGATCACAACTGCCTGGATGCATGAAGGAGGGGGGATCTTGGCTGATGTTAATGGGTAGAATGGCAGGCGATATCACGCGTATAAGGAGGGCAATTACCTACTGGTACATAGTTACTTCGCCCCACTTCAGTCACCAGCAAAGACACACACATGTTCAGTTGTCCCCTAACAGCAACACAGCCGAACGACGACGCAGAACAAGACCGTCTCGACCTCCACCACCACGTCTTCAATCTCGTAACAGAGGGTAAGCTGTTCCACGCACCGATAGACAATCCGTCAAGGGTACTGGATGCAGGCACCGGGACAGGAATTTGGGCCATGGATTTCGCAGAGTAAGATTTGGAAATGTCAATATTGGAACTTGGATTGGATCTCAAATGAAGGGGTCAGGGGGCTGAGGGATCGGGACTACTAGAGTGGATATGGATGAGCTGACATGGGAATTTGGCAGTCAATTTCCCGGGTCGTATGTTTTGGGGACGGATCTGTCGCCTATACAACCTGGCTGGTATGATCTCCCCTTCTTCTCCCTCATCACATAGACAGATACGGCGATTTAGACAAGACGAAGACGGACCGAACGGCCACCCAACCAAAGTAACTATCGCTCACGCTTCCAGGGTGCCGCCGAACCTGGAGTTCGAAGTCGATGACAGTAAGCTCCTCTGAAGTCTTGTTGTTTTTCCCCTCTAGTTGCGCCTCGGAAACTTGTAGCCATTCGTTATTTGCTCTCCAAGAGATTATTCTTACTCTCCGGACCATTTTGTCCCCACTAGTCCATATTCCGAGCGGATAGACTGATCTAGAGGTGTAGTGGAAGACGTCTGGAGACACAAGCCCTTCTCCTACATTCATCTAAGATCTCTCGCCGGCTCTCTCAAAGACTGGCCTCGTCTCCTCTCCCAAGCCTATGAGAATCTCGAGCCCGGAGGCTGGTATGTCTCATTTCCACCCTTGATGCAGCTTCCTTCCCTCTGTGACGTCGAATCTACAAGAGATCGTTCTCTTCATGTTACACGGAGGGTATCTGAACAAACACGCGTATTAATATCTCCTTCAGGCTCGAAGTCGTAGATTTCGAGCTCTACTGTAAAGATCAACGAGATCCTGACGCCGAAGAACCTGGCATACCAGAGTTGAAGGATGCGAAACATATCAATTTGTGGGTGGCGGGCTTACATGAGGCGGCAGAAAAGATCGGCAGGACATTTAGGAGTGTGGAGTCTTGTAAAGGGTGGATGGAAGATGTGGGGTTTGAGAAGGTTGTGGAGCAGAAGATTAAGGTACGGGATAATTCATTCTCTACGGTAGTGATGGGGATGCTTAATAGAGAGTATCAACAACTGGTCGGTCAGTTGTCAACTTGGCTCAATTTTCGGAAAGAAGGAAAGAAGAAATCATCCATCCTGATTCACTAAAAATTCGCAGGTACCCTTAGCACCCTGGGCCAAGAACCGTCGCCAAAAAGAAGTAGGTCTCTACCAACAGCAAGTCAGTACGTTCAATTCCCTTCTGCGCTGTCCTTTCATCGTTTGTTCCTCCACTCTACAATTTGAATCTGCCTCCCAGTACATTCTTGATCATCTCTTGGAGTATCATACCCCCAAACACAACAGCTCTAACTATGAATTGTATTCTACAGTGCTAGACGCGTCTTCAGCCTACGGAGCAGCGCATTTCACGCGCGTGCTGGGCTGGACCAGCAAAGAGTTCGAAGTCCTAAGTGCCGGTGTTAGGCATGAGTTGAAAGATAGGACGTTGCAGCTTTATTCGAATCTGTATGTGATATATGGGAGGAAACCGGGTGAAAAGGAGGATGGGGAGGGTGATGGAGAGGAGGAGGGCAATGGCTGACTGGCAATGCTGAGTGAGGGTTTGCGGGTGCCGGGATCCACAAATGGGGCCTAATTACCCTGTCGCAACGAGACAATCTTTCTTGCATCAAGTTGTCTTAGAGTGAAAGAAATCAAAGTATACGCTCCCGACTGTCTAATCTTTGTGTGATTGCTGCAGATCAAAAACTGATGTGTCGGCTTTGTTGTGCTGATGTATCGCCGTGAAGGAAAAGAAGCCTCGCTTAAATCCTCACGGCTCGAAACAAATAAAAACAAAAACAAAAAAAAAAAGCAGACGTGACGATTTGACTCCACAACAACACAAGATGCATTCCAAGCAGAGAATGTAGAACAATAGTTAAGACGTAAAAGATCTCGAACTAAAAAAAAGAAAAAGAACAAGAACAAAATAATTTGATCAAACTGGGAATCGAACCCAGGTCTCCACCCAGACGACACCCAACCTACAGGGCACGATAAACGCGTGCACGTCGGGGGTATCCAAAATCGAGTAGGAAGGGTGCTTTTTTGTCGGGGGACGTTCTACCACTGAACTATTCGACCGGTGACGGAATTGTCTTGGTTGATGATTTATACTCGAGGACGCTTATTTGCGTAGATAAGGGGGGTGGACTTTTGTGGGGCCGCGGGTACAGTAATGAATGGCTTTTGTGGAGGGCAGGAGGGAAGGTGAGCGGTGGGATATGAGCGGTGCCATGGGGAAATGTTTTCGCTTTGAGGCGAAGTGGAACTGTGTGACTGGATGATTTGATTTGCATCCGTTTCTTTGTTGAAAGACCTTTCTAATATTGTAACTTTGTTCTTGCTATCAAGGAATAGGTGTTATTTACCCTCGCCCGGCTTCTAACATGGTGTCAAAGCTGGAGAGGAAGATCAAAATAACCTCGGCAATATTGCATTCTGATTCAAATATGGCAGGTTCAGGATCAAGGAGCCTCAACGAGCTAACAGTGGATGGAAGACAAATTTGATTATGCGTTCATGATCTGTCGATTCATTTTCTGTTCTGAGGTGAAGTATCACTCCAACGCCGGCAGTAGTAATTACATACAAGATCTGTTAAGTTGATGAAGGTTCTACAGGACAGTAATGTTGCTGATAAAACAAGGATTGAAGTTCAAAAATTAGCCGTCAAATCATGCAACAAATTAAAAACCTTTATTACATGTGATCCACTAGGTCCAGTAACGAAAGAACAAGTCGAGAAGAGTGTTGGGGGCCAGTTGCTGCATTCCGAGCATTCTCAAGATCTGTAGGAGTTTAGGTCAGCCTCATGGACTTTGTTCTTTATCGTTGCTGTGAACACTCACCAAGTAAGTCCCGCAAGTCTCCGAGTATGTGGACTAATACCGAGCCCGCCGAGGTGCGCACAGCTCCCCTACTCCGCATGTTCGCGCTGATAGGCCGGTATATGCGACAAAATACCAAGTCCTCAACACTGCGGCTGTAATCCTCTACATTCATGAGCATTTCGGTTTCATCTTCTTCTAATCTGGCTGATCTCAGTGAGAGTTTCAGGCGTTCTGTGCTGGCGATATCGATGCGCTCAACGAGGAAGGCCAAACACATAGAGATGAAGAGGCAGGACGTCCATGCCTTTGGTGATTCCATAAGATCCTGGAGCCCGGTAAGCACTTGCTTCAGTATCCTGCATTGTAGGTTGTAGAAGGCCACTTTCAATTGAAGAGAGAGAAGCAATGGGGATTGACGCTGCCTATCGCTGCAAGGTTGCGGACCAGTTTGGTCACCGAACAGGCCCGCTCTGAAAGACTGGGGCATGTCTAGTAGCAGGGCTTGCATGATGATCCTGTATATGGCAATAAGCTTGATGGCGCTTCTCATGATGACAACTTCGCGTTTGAGCATCTACCAAAGTCAGCATTCGCTAAAACTTGAGGTTCAATCAGTGCATGCTAACTTGGTGTCTGTAATCATGAAACCATGTAAATAGCCGGTATAAGACTCGGCTTGAATGATCGCCAGTACGGAATTGTAATAGAAAGGATATGCATTCGGCAGTTAGGTGATTGTCCACAATTCCATCAAGATAATTGTTAAGATTTCCAGCCAGGGCTTGGAAATCAATATTATGCAGACCAAGAGGCAAGGGACTTCTGAAGTCTATTGCGGTACCAGGGTCTCTTTGAAGCGACATGAGGTCGCATGTGGGTAAGAACTTCCGTAGAGTCAGAGCAAGTGGTAGATTTGGAATGCAAGATAGTTTGACAGGCAGATTGTGGGATTCCCACTGGCCATTCGAGACAACGCTTTTCGTGAAGCCGTTCAGGTATGTCTTGGTGAGATGTTGAATCATGAAAGTCGGAAAGAATGAGGACACCATGCATGGTACAGGCCACCTTCCGGGGGAGATATCAATAGAATGACGGATATAGCTGGCGCTATAGATATGCTCGCATTGCGGACACAAGGTAGCACCGACAGATTCCTTGCAGTATAATTAGTGATGATTCGTGTTTGGAGAAGAGGATATCTAACATTGGTCGCCACAGCTTCGCTGCACCTTCCGCAGGCAGCGGTCCTGGCGAGATCCTGATTAAGCTTTTGACAACATCTCCCAACGTAGGCGCCAGGTTCGGTCTCGGACATGTGATTGTTGATGAGGTTCACCAGCGTAGCAGCTGACGGTCTTTCTTTTCCGTTCACCTGGAGCATTTTACTAGCCCAAAAGAATGGTGCGTTGTCAATACTTGATAGACTGTTCATGTCTTCGACCCACGCAACGATCCCGGATTCATTATTGTAGAAGTGTGAACTATCGGATCGCTCGATGAAGAAGTCTTGCAACTCCAGAACACGCTTCCGCTTGAGTACAGTGGCCATTTCGAAGAACACGCACCCGAGGCTCCAAATGTCAGAAGAAGAGCCACGTTTCTTGCTCATTATGACCTCAGGGGCCGCGTAGGGGCGCGTAAACCCGCAGTTGGTTGATGTAGTAGAGCTCGTGAAATCCTTCCAGTCCCACGCAAGTCCAAAGTCAACGAGCAAAACTTGTCGGTTATGCACCAAGATGTTTCCTGGCTTTATATCGCGATGCCGGATATGATTCAGGTGGAGGTAGTGAACTGCCGTAGCCAGACATCCGAACCAATGTCTGACTGGAAACAATATATTGGATTCAAAAGAGTCGCCGGCATGAGCCAGGTATCCTTGAAGATCAGTGTCGGCCAATGGTGACATGACAATGGCCAAATCACGTGAGGTAGTATAACTTCCGACCTACCAACTCTTTTGTCAGCGTCAACCTCATGAATCAAAGCAAAAAACAAGCCGCAGTTGCTCGAAGAAAACATAAATGTGAGAGCGAGGTGGAGCTGTCAAGCACACGATCTGATTTCGGACAGACGAGCATGATGGAGTGTACCGCGGGGCAGGACAGGGAAATATTTTGAGGAAAAAAGACGGCCTCACAATCTTGACACAATGCCTGTGCCTGATCTGATTCAATGCATATAGCTCTCTTTGAAATGCCTGGACGCGATTTTTGTTGATGGTAACACAGCTTGTACGTCGGATGCTCTTCCTGGCATAAATTTGGCCATCAGTGAGGCTCAATACTTCATCCACAGACCCTAAACTGCCATCCCCGATATGTCGACGGCTTTGGAATGGAGGGTGACTATGGGGTGCAAAATGACCGTGGCTGCTCGGAAACCCGAGATGGAAATCCACCGGTTGACCACAAACATGACGCTGAGCCTGGATGAATTGATGGCGCACGTCAATCGGGATGAGGACTTCGAGCATCGACTCAGAAATGATTGGAAGCCACAAGTCGCTGATGCCGTTTTCATTAAGGTTGTCAAATAGAGACAAGCGGCCGATCTCTCGAAGAATGATATACAACCTAGGACTCTGGCTCCATATAGATTGCCCAGCTTGAAAAAGCTCAGTGGCGACTAGGTCGACATAAAGCTGGTTGTACTTTCCACTCTCCTCTTTCCCATTCTGATTCGAAGCGACTGTGCTTTCGGTAGTCGGCATTTGTCTGGTACTACAAGATTCGATCGCTGGGATCTGATTGTTGATGTCAGATTTTCGGATGGTTGCCCTCGGTACGCATTTGCGGGAGTAAATATTAGAGGCTGAAAAGAGTTTGTAGCACAGTTGTTTCTTGGATGATTACCGGGAGATGATGACGGGGTGAGGAAGATACTCATAACTGCGGATCCAGAGACAAGTGCGGATCTGTGACTTCCACATAGCGGTCAGGAAGGATCTTTCACCGCTGGTTGGAAGGTATCAATCTGCAGTAACTCCTGTGCTGATTTGACTCGCCTATTTGAAGGCGTTTGCCCGATTACGGGATGCAGCCTTGTGTCCGTAGCCGGGGCGGTTTCGAATGTAGGTAGGCATGGAGCAGAATGATCTTGAAGCCAATGAGACTAAGGGTTTAGCTTGTCGGTCACGATGACCTTGCGACGTGGCAGAGCAGTGACTGAAGCTGCTTCATCGACCGCAGTGTAGGTAGGACGCACATGTATACGATCCGCTGAAGAGCGAGCGAAAGGCATGCATACAAAGAGATTGCCAAAGGACTGAAAGCACTGAAGATTACTGACAAAGAGACGACACTTTCTCAAGATTTCTGGACCGATCGAACATGCTCTCTAGTTGGGGGATGAGCAAAAGGCAGGCTGAATAAGAAAATAGAAGGCAAGAAACTGATGGACTTTCGTCATCGCAACGTGTATGTATGTATGTATGTATGTATGTATGTATGTGTAGGGATGCCAAGAGATGAAGTGTGCCCTGTTCGCGATGCTGCATGGGAGTGGGTCATCAGTACGAGTGCAGTACCCTCCCATACCTTAGTCTACCCGGCCGCGATCCACATTGTGGACCTGCTTGAAGTTCGACTTGCAGTTGCGTTCCATCTCACGATTGAACAACACTCGACATGCTGCCTCCCATCAGCGATGGTAAACAAACTTGTTATAGTCTGACGAGGAGGGTTACCCCGGTAAGTACAGATTGCTTTTCGCAGATAATGCACGCTAGGCCAGTAAGGGCACCGCGCCCGGCTCACAGGCAGGCCATAGGGCATTGTCACAGATTTTGAAAAAACACCTGGAGCTGATGTCTCGCCTTCAACAAACCTTTTTCTTCATTCTTTTCGTCCATTCTATTTGCGACTCTCCTTATTACTCTTTATCTCCCCAGGGTCCTGTCTGCGAGGTTGATCTCTCCGTCCATCTCTGCTTGCGCCTCTTTGCCTACCCGAAAACACAACAAATTCGTCGCATTTCTGAGATCCCCCCTTTCAGCGACTCGAGATTTTCATCACCATGTCCTACGACGAAGAACCTCCCGAGAAGCCCGTGGATGTCGCCCCTCCGGATCCTTGAAAGTCTACCTTACTCCAAGCCCAGCCACCTGCGACAGAACGAAGACTAACAATTATTGTAGTCTGGGGCAAAGGCAGATGAACAGCCATTGCTTTACGCCGATGCGAAAAGAATAGACAACTTGAGCGAAACATGCTGTCCTTCGAATCTCCCCGAATTATTTCTCTAGTTTCCATA